CCTTGTGTTCCAAGCCTGTCCCCAGTAGAGCATGGTCTCCTCCTGAACCCAGAAGTCTTGTCTCTGATCTTGTTCTATCAGGAAATATTTGTAAAACCCACTGGCAAAGTGTGTCTCATTCTCTTCTAGTGACTGGTCCTCAGAACATAACAGCCTGCTACTAGTACCAGATAGTCCATTAGTCAGTGCACATGATGGAGCATGCTTTGGGGATGAATCAAGGTTTTGTAGTGAATGATGCTGTTTTCTGTAGTACCCCTGCCTCATTTGTTTACAGAAATTGGAAGATACATAGTGAATGAGGCAGGATTACAGATAGAGAAAGGATGGGCTTATGATTAAGGAAGATGAGTGCCTTTCTGGAGAACTGGATTCTATTCCTGTCTCTGCCGTGGAGTTCCTATGTGATGTTGGGCAAGTCACTTAAACCTGACTTTTCACAGATGGCCACTAAATGTCTAATCTTCATTTTCTGGATGCCCAGTATTGTACAGCTGGTACCAAATTTGCAGATGTGCCAAGTGCTCACAGTTGTGTGTTGAATAGATCATTTTACCTTTAAAAATGCTGAGCACTCTGAAAAATCAGGCCCTAGGCATCTCAAGTTGAGCACCCAACATGACTGGACACTGACAATTTTGGCTTTAATCTCCATGACTCAGGTCCACAGCTGTAAAATGGGAATAAATAATATCACCCAGTTTCACCAGGGTGGTGTGAAGATAAATGGATTAATACCTGTGAAGCGCCCAGATCCTACAGTCAACACATTAGGAGATTAGTAAAGTTGTATTCAGCGGAAGGTTTGGGTGGGATCTGTTTAGTAAAACCTGGGGCCACGCACTGAAGGATGATAAAAAAAATATTAAAAATTGAACTGCCCCTTCACAGATTGAGGCAGGGTGCGATGGTTCTCGGGGTACTCAGGAGGATTCACTGTGAATCACCCCTGCTTCCAGCAAGGAGTCTGTGTGGTTGCTGGATGTCAGCTACCTGACACCACCAGCATTTCAGCCACTCAACTCTCTCCTCTGGATAATGTCTGTCCTAACTTCACCTTGTAGGTTAACAATAACTGCACTCTAATCCCTTTGAATTGCATCCCTGTGATATCCAGCCCCTGACGGTGGCTACTCAGAAATTTCAGATGCTCTGCGTCCAAAGGTGCAGTGTACTGTACCCAGTTTTACCTTAAACCACACAGCAGTTGTGAGCACGTAAATAAACCTGTTGTTTTAGTATAAGAGCGAATAAAGATTTAACTAGAAGTGAAAGAAAATGAATGGAAAAGCTTTCAGTACAAAATCATAGGATGCAAACCTGGGTCTACACTTATCAATATCAGAGGGGTAGCCGTGTTAGTCTGAATCTGTAAAAAGCAACAGAGGGTCCTGTGAAAAGGTGCCACAGGACCCTCTGTTGCTTTTCACTTATCAATAGTTACCTTTCCTATATATTAAAGTGGGTTTCCCCCCACAAGTTTAGTCTTTTGCAGAGCTAGCTGGTTTCACAAGAACCAAGACCCAAATGTTCATAAAAGCAGCCAGGCTCCCCTAAATGTTTCCTTAGTGACAGGATCTAGAGTGCTTCTCTTCCTTCTGTGTTATACTGCAAATAGCCTTTTGTTTCTACTCACAGCCAGGGTTAAGTTCAGTCTGTAATGTTCCCTTTTCACCTCCAAGAGATTTCAATTGTTTGGTTGTGCCTCTGATGGTTTTCCATGGATAGTTTTGGGAGGGAGCAATGCTAGTCAATTGAGCCTTGCATTACCTGACCTGCTGATTAGGGACCAGTGACAACTCCCTCCTACTTGAGTGGGCCATCACTGTGGCACATCACCTCTTGGTGATTAATTTCTAATTCAAGTCCATAAAGCGTACTTTGAATATAAAAACTGTATTCCTTAAATATTACCCATACATGCATATCACCAGGATTGAGTCTTGACAAGTTATGAGCTTTCTGTAGATAACTCACATAATATCCCTTATGAATAAATACCCTCCAAGATACATGTTCGGTGTAATGAGTTTGTTGGGTTTGAGGAGAGAGTTGTTTACAAAGAAGAGGGGACCCTCTGCCAAGGGGGTGTCTCTGTATAAATAGGAGAACCACTGCAAATTACCAAGTGAAACAAAAGGCAAAGAATGCAGCATAGAACAGTTTGTCAATGTATTTTGATAATTGTAAATTAGTTTTACTGAGATTCTTAAAGTACTAGTAACTGTACTGTGATGTATATTTTGTAAAAATACTGTAAATAACAAGATCTCACTACAGTGAGCCCTATTAAATCCTTTTTAGTGCTAATAAGTAAGGCTAAGATTTTGTCTCAGATATTTTTGCCAGGTCATGGCAAAAAAGAAAAATTCACGGAAGTTGTGACCTGTCCATGATTTTACTAAAAATATCCGGGACAAAATGGGGATATGCGAGTCCTCCACTGTCTGAAGCGGGGCAGCTGCGCAGGGGCTAGGAGCTGCCTGAAGTGGGGCAGCTGCGGGGTACCCCTGCAACAAATATAGTTAGGATGGGGTCTAAGAAGCCCCCTCTCCATCAGATCCCCTTAGTATGTGGCTCCCTTGAAATAGAATGGATGCATCCACCCTTCATTGTTTTTCAGTGACTATTTTAAAACTAAAAGGGGGGAGGGGGACTCTAAAGGGGGTCCTAAACTACTTGCAAACCCTCTCTGGGGAGGTTTCACAGCTGTTTCTCCTGCCTAGTCTCTGCAATGCATTAAAAGTATTCTGCATTATGGAGACTCTACTGGCACAGCTACATTGCCATAGCAAACCTGTAGTTTAGGTGAAGCCTACGCGGATGGAAAGGGTTTTTCTGTTTGTGTAGAACTACCACTTGCCTGAACAATGGTAGCTGCATTAACAGAAGTATTCTTTCATTGACATATCTGTGTCTGCACTAGGGGTTAGGTTAAATCTAAATCTTCCCATAACTCTTATTTTTAAAGCACTCTGTTGTCCCTGTTCTGTGGGCCTTCCTGTACTTATGGTTTAGACGGTGGGCTTCTTGATGCAGAAACTGCTGTATTTTTGTATTGTAAAAGAGCAGAGAGTACTATTGGCACTTGACAAATAGTTGTTAATGATATTGCATGGGATGGCTCTGTGCACATTGTGAGAAGTGGTACATAAATTTTCTGGTAAACTACTTGACCTGATTTACGCAGTGTGCTATGGAAAATTTTGCAGTACCTTAGAACTTCTGCATAATCTTCAAGTAACTTCAGAAAGTGTCTTTTTTTTTAATTGAAATCAGTTCAGTATTCTTGTAGCTTGTTTTGGTAATAAAATAAGCTAGGATTGTTTTGAGTGTATGCTAACAAAAAATAGTAATGTGCACCTTTCTGGGGATGGGGGTTGGGGTGAAGCTAGATAAGCCTTGGACAGTGGTTCTCAATTTATTTACCATTGTGGGCCGCGTCTAATACTACCTGTATGGCTCTGAGGATGTCACATGGGCCACAGCTCTGTGCTGATTGGGCTGCAGGTTGAGAACCACTGGACTAGGATGTAGTGTGGGATTTTGAAACCAAAGAGGATGTGCTTCTCTTTCCTTCCTCCTTGGGGAAGGGGCGGTGAAGGGGGCATTAGCAGTAGAACATTTTTTTGAGGAGTGTTCCTTGACACAGCAATTCTTGCCAGCAAACAGCTGATCTACAGTTTCCCATCCCTAAATACACACCAATGGATGTCATAAAAATGGATAAGCACCTTAGTCATGTTTGTGTTAAAATTAATAAGCAGTGAAATAGTAAAGCTTTTGTTTATTAATTTTATTTTTTAATTTCCATTGAAAGATTTCAGTGTTAACACCTGTTGAGATGGATGGAAGAACCCCTGCATCACTTTTAATTATCTTTTCATATTCAGGCAGGCAATATGTAGTGGTTCAGATTTGAAAAGATACTTTTGCAAACATAAATGAATTAAACAGAAAAAAGCTTAACCCTTCTCTGGCATGGTGGATACTGTGGTCATTTGTGAATTGTAGAAAAAACAGGGTTCTGGTAACTTGTGTATTTAATGTTTTTCTTTCCATTTCACTTAATAGTTACTATGAGAAACTGTTGTTGCTAAAAATTCTTGAAAATACATTATGAATAAGTGCAAACATCTTCATTATTCTAAACAGTATCAGCCAGTTCAGAAAACTGCATAGCATAACGCTGTTTGAAATGTAGGCCTGCCCTTTTCTTTGAACCCCTTAATACTTTAACACTTAGTAAAGTAGACTGCTTATCAGTGGATTCAGGATTTTTAACATAATAAAAAATAACATAAAAAAATGGAAGCAGGTAAAAGGCAGGGATGTTGGTGTCAGCACAGCTGTATGTGCTGAGTAGTTGTTAAACCTGAGAGAACAAGATGACCACCTTTTGAGTTGTTTTGTTTAAACATATTCCTATTGATATGAGCCAAAATACTGAGGAACTCTCTAATCCTGCATTCTGTAACGAGAGTTTCACTGCATTCTAGCAAGACCCTGGCTCTAGCAGGCTTTATAGGTTTGATGAGATGGTTTGCATGTGGTGCAAGGATTCATGAACATTGGTTCATCTTTGTGAACCCACCCATCCTCAGGATGATGTCTTCCTAATTCTTTTACCTTGTGCCTGCAGGTCATCTTAGGCCTGATCTAAACACACAATTTTCACCAATTTAACTAAATATAATCAGTTTTGTTAGCAAATTAAGTTAAATCAGTATTGGAAATTCTTAAACTGATTTCAGAGCATCCACACAAGGGGTTTGCACCAATTTTATAAAATTGACTTGCATACAATTGGTGCAATTTTTATATGTAGACTGGGCCACCTTCTGCTATTGTTAGAAGTTGCAGTAGCATGTGTTCTTTTAGGCCAGACTGTCTATATAGAAGTAGTTTTTTAAAAGAGGAATCTCTATCTAGAGTAAAGGTAATATGTTTGTTAAATAGAATAATATAGCAAAGTGGTATTTTTCTGTTCATTTCAACAGGAATGCCCAAAGAAAAGTACGATCCACCTGATCCACGGAGGATGTACACAATTATGTCCTCAGAGGAAGCAGCCAATGGAAAGAAATCAAATTGGGCGGAGCTGGAAATAAGTGGTAAGAAATGGAGGAATAATGGTTATGTGGTGAAATGAGGATTTGATTTCAAATTTGAATACTCATACTAGCCATCAGATAAACTTTTATCCTGTAGATATTCCTTCACAAGTAAGCAGGGTTGGGCTATATAGGCTTGGCATTTGAATAGGAAACCTAAGGAACACCAAGGAGTTACAGGAAGTCATGGTGTTTATTTCGTAGGATGCATTCTTCCCTCTAGTAAATTGATGTCCCACATAGCACTGGGAAATGCTGTGCAGCAGTAGATCTCCTCTACAAATAGGAGATAAAATGAAGGTTGTGACCACTTTGGGTCATTAAATATCCCTGGGCACTTTACATATGTGTTAAGGGTGTTTAAATCTGGTGCCTTGACCAAAATTTGACAATCAGTCAATTCAAGGTTTTATTTATATATAGATATAGAGGCACATAAAATATACTTGGAGACAAGCCCTGTGTGTGTGAGACACTATCCCACCAATCCCTTGTTGCCTAAGGGAAAATTCTGAGTTGATCAAGAGGAGACCATGAGTTGAAATCTCACCTGTACTGGCTGTGGTTTATATTCCATGCACTGTTCTATACTGTCAGTTGAACTTACCTGGAAATCAGTATTGAAAGTTTAAAATACATTGAATTTTTTTTAATATGTATTTTCCTTTTAACTTGTATTTCTTTATGTACCTCCATGTAGCCAGGATTTTTATTCCTGGCAGGAAAAACGTTCAAATTAAGCTGAATAACTTGACCCTTCTTTCCCTCCACTCACCCAATGTCAGTGGTGAAAATTCTGGACACACTTGAATAAAATAAAGAAATAAAAGTTAAAGGAGGGAAAAAGACCAATTTATCTCAGTGCAGCTTTTCGTAGGAGGAAAAGAGTTGGGGAGGGTGGGGGGAAAGTAAATCAGCAAATACATTTGGAGTATAATGACTTAATTGGAAAGAGTGTTTAACATTGGTGGCTCATAGATGACTAAATAAGCTATAAAAAGTCTGTTAAATGGTAGTGAGCCTATTTTGCCTCCGAGGAAATGATGTTCTGATTTTCCTGCAGTGCTCTTGATACAGTCTAGATCAGGGGTGGCCAACCTGAGCCTGAGAAGGAGCCAGAATTTATCAATGTACATTGCCAAAGAGTCACAGTAATATGTCAGCAGCCCACGCATCAGCTCCCCCGCCTGCCGGCAGCCCCACCGATCAGCGCCTCCCCCTCCCTCCCCGTGCCTCCTGCCCACCACAATCAGCTGTTTCACAGTGTGCTCTGGGGGGGAAGTGGTGAGAGAGGGCACGGCAGGCTCGGGGGAAGGGGCAGGAGCCTTGGGGGAAGGGGTGGAGTTGAGGTCAGGATCTGGGGCAGAGCCAGGGGTTGATCAGTGAGCACCCCTGACACATTGAAAAGTTTGCGCCTGTAGCTCCAGCTCCAGAGTCTGCACCTATGCAAGGAGCCACATATTGACTTCCGAAGAGCCGCATGCGGCTCCGGAGCCACAGGTTGGCCACCCCTGGTCTAGATAGTCTTTCTGATTGAAGGGTGGGAAGTCAACCTTGCACGAGAAATGTCTCTAATGATGTCCCTTATGATACTTCAAGTTCCTGCCATATGGAGGTGTAGATCTCTTGACTTTTTAAAATGAATCAACGTTAATATCCTCCATTTTACACAAAATAGGTGTGGTTCTTGAGCCCATGGCCATAGCCAGCACAGCTTTTAGTAGCGTGCAGTTTGGGGACCCCTGTTCTAAAGTTACCATTATAGTTACAACAGGAATAACACTGTTAAACTCCGGAAGAAGCTGCTTCCTCTTATGTGTTGAACTAATGGCATGAAAGAAAGCCTTTTTATTTAGAAGATGGTGTGTGAATAAGGGCAGAACCCAGAGAACCATCTTCCACTCCAAAGCAAGAGCACTAAAACTTAAAATGTCAATGATAAGTGCACAGTGTTTCACTTGAAAAACATATTAAAATACTGAATGCATGATCAGTTCATAAATCTGTAAGTTGCTTTATGTAGCACGTTCAGAAAGGAAGAGGATGTCCAAGGCTTAAAGCATGGGCTCAAAAATGGCTAAAGAGCCCAGGCAAGAAAATTTAAAGGAACATTTATTTGTGCCATCAAAATGTCATGAAATTAGAGGGGAGTACCTTCTATGTAATCTTTCATTTTTAACCATATTGCAGAAAACTCTAAACACTGTTCAAACAAGATGTCATAAAATACTCATTTAATGCTAAAACTAGATGTTTAAAATGTCCAAAGTTATTTTTATTTTACTCCTGTTTCTCTCTCTCTCTTACAGGGAAAGTAAGAAGCTTAAGTTCATCTTTATGGTCACTGACCCATTTGACAGCTTTGCATCTCAGTGACAATTCCTTATCCCGTATTCCTTCAGACATTGCCAAGCTTCACAATCTGGTCTATCTGGACCTGTCCTCTAATAAAATCCGTAGTTTACCAGCAGAACTCGGAAACATGGTGTCACTCAGGTATGCAAATTCATCTGCAACCCCGGCAGACATCAATTTCATGTTTTGGCACGATTCTGTTCTGTAACTAACCAAAGCCAATATAAACAGTTTTTCCTAGTGGTTGGAGTTGTAACTACAGCCCTAGCACTCTATATTTGCCCTGATCTCCAGTTGCCCCATGCAACAGTGTACAATGAGCTCCTACAGAGCTGAGAATGCTGGCATGCACCTTGCATAACATTGCTAAATCAGGTTTACATACACACACCCCTCCAAACACATCCCCAAATCCTTATGCGGAGTGCTGCTCTTGAAGAACTGTTGACACCCATAGAGTTCGTGCAAGAGTTGCCCCTTAATTCATGGCAAGAGAAAAGAGTATTTTATAGCACCTAGCACAAAGGGCCATAGGCACTATAGTAATACAAATATTACATAATAATAATAATAAGAGCAGACTAAACATTTCTAAATAAAGGTAATCAAAGAAAGTTAGTGGCTGTTTTCTTCATCTTAAATTACTACTCTAAGAATTTAATTTTATGACCATAGTTTTATAACACCTGAGAGATTTGCGTAGCAACAGGTATCTTGTGGGGGGGTTTCTCCCCCTCCCCCCTTCTTTTTCTTGTGGTGGCCATGTATTTATACTTCCACACCAATAAAAGAACATAATCTTTAGCTAGCCAGGTAGTTACTAAAGTGAATTTTATGCTTTCAAGTTGAAAGGTGTAGAAGAGTCACAAGGCTAGGGATAGAATAAGTTAATTAATTAACAAATTCTTTTTGGAAGTAAAACATATTAATGTTATAGCTAGTTGGATTTAATTGGGGCCACGGTATCTAATTTTGTTAATGGAGTCCTCTTCTTCGGGGAAGGGCAAGTATTATGGGCAAATTTCTCTTGCCCTTAAAGGGTGTTATTGACAATGTATAAACGACCTCCGTGAAGTACTGTATGTGGGATTATCATACAGTACCAGTGTTTGATTCCCAGACTTACACCTGCATTGGAATGATAGGCTAGGTGGCACCTTGAGATACTAATAATTGTATTTTCTTCATCTTTGGGAAAAATTGCACCCTACTGAAAAAATTAAACTACTTGATTAAAATTGAGAGTAAGCTATCAATAAATTCTAGAGTAGTTAAGCTCTTAAAACTATTATTTATTGTGAGCCCTATTTAACAGTGGGAATTTAGCCTGTAGTAAGAAATACTGATAGTGCCTTACATCATTTTCCCCAAAACTCTGAGATATTCTATTTTATTTTTTTGTTTTACCCCTACCACCTTTGCTCTAATTACAGTAACTACTAATAATTTCCCCCTACTCTGCTGTCGTTCAGTATCATCACCTACCCATTTTAAACTTACTGAAACATTGAGATTCACCTTGTGAATTAATTAGTGTTCCTTTCTCTTTATAAAGCCCTTTGCCTTTTAAAATATTGGTGCAAATGATGTTAGTATAGCACTCTGCAGAATAGTGCATGCAGATATTGTGCAAACTTTCCTAAAATTTTCCCAATTTACTCCAATCCTGATTCTACAAAATTCCAGCTATCCCTGTCTTGAGCCTCTTTTGAGCAGAGAGTATAAAATCTTGTTCTGGCTACAAAATGTGCACTAACAAACTCAGATCAGACCATCAATCTAGTTTCCATTTGTGACAAACATAATATTTGAATCCTGGTCTATAGACACGAAGGGCATTAAAAGCACATTAACCCACTGCACACACACTGTCCTCAGTAATTGTAGCTGATCCATGATTTCTTTTCACTGGGGTTAAAGTGAAGAACAGTCTGTAAGTGCTTCCTATGTGGTAGCGCTCTGCAGGTCTCAATCCCATAGTAGTTTTGTGTTTCCTGCTGACTGCTACTGCACTCTCCTCGTAGCTTGTGGTATAATTTCCAGATTAACAGAGTAATTTCAGCTTTGAATATCACCAGTATTATGGACCAGAGAAATAGTGTGAACTGACACTACCTAGAATCTTTTAGAGTCAATAAATAACTCCTTCAACCTCCATGTCTGGGAACTCTTTTTATAAAGGGCTTAGTTTGTCTAAGATCCATTGTGTCTCCCTGTCACATGCAGACAAAATTTGTTCCAATGACTTTGGGAGACTGTGAACCAGCTAATGGAGAATGATCAAGTTGCCAATCTTTGGAGAGAGCTTAAAAAAACTATCACAAATTTTTCTTCAACACAACTGGGGAAAGATTTCAGAGAGCTCAGATTCTTTTGATTTGTTTGGAAGGACTAGTATGACTTGCTATGATCCTCTGTGCTGCCTAAAGGAAGCTCTTTGACGCCAAAGAGCATTAACCAAGATGAGATTAAACTAGACAACTATCCTTATCATTTTTCTTTAACAATTTATGAAAACTGTACTTTATTTGTTAGTGGAACTGTAATCTATACCTAGAATGAACCCAGGTGAGCATCTTGAACCAAAAGCTCACCTTAAGAGTTCTGCAAAGTTCTCAAAAGTTCTTAGACAAAAAGGTAGTTTCATAAAGAATAATGTATTAGTTGCCGTTTAGGGTCATGTAGAATATTATTCCCAACCATGTGATAGTCCAGTGGTTTTCAACCTCTGGTCTGTGAACCCCTGGAGGCCCGCAGATTGTCAAAGGTGTCCGTGAAAGGTGACTGTGAAAATGAAGTTTCAGACCCCAGAAAAGGCATTCAGTTTTTCTGATCAATCAAAAGTATGTGAATACCTCTCCCTACAGATCAAAACCCAGAAGTGTTGTCGTTATCATAAAAGCCCACAGTTTAGCGTCCTTTCTCATGCCGTGTCAAATGCCGTGCTGAGCCGAGCACATGCAACACTTACAGTTGAATTCTGTTCAGTCAGTTTTCAGTCTAAGGATTCTATAGTAGGGGTCCCCAGACTACAGGTTGAATTTCCAAAGGGGTCTGCACCTCCATTTGAAATTTTTTAGGGGTCTGCAAATGAAAAAGGTTGACAAACACTGTGGTAGTCAAATAAAGCTTGAATGACTTAGGCCGGTGGTGGGAAGTTGGTAGGGTTTTTGTTTTTAAATCCCTCTCCCTCCCTCCCCTAAGCAGTATATGTTACTGCCTGGAAATCTAGGAATGGAGTAGGTGGGCCCTTGGTCTTTTCCTCCTAAAATGTCTGCTTTTATCTATGCTCTTTTTACATCTTGCAAGGAATGGCTAGGGAACTCTAGTCTGGCAGAATCATATGGGTAACTCTTATGTAAGGCCTGGTCTACACTAACACCCCAATTCGATCTAAGGTACGCAACTTCAGCTACGTGAATAACGTAGCTGAAGTCGACATACCTTAGTTCGAACTTACCACGGTTCAGACATGGTCCACACGCGGCAGGCAGGCTCCCCCGTCGACTCCGCGGTACTCCTCTCGCTGAGGTGGAGTACCGCAGTCGACGGCGAGCACTTCCGGGATCGATTTATCGCGTCCAGACCAGACGCGATAAATCGAACCCGGAAGTTCGATTGCCAGCCGTCGAACTACTGCGGTAGTGTAGACCTGGCCTAAGTCTTACGCAGTCTTATGTAATGATTGTGCCTATATCACAGATTTTAACATTATACCTAAATTGGACCATTTTAGGGCTGGTCACAATGAAAAATTATTGGCATAGCTATGTCTCTATAAGGGGTGTGAAAAATCTATATCCCTGAGAAACATAGTTAAGCTGACCTGACCCCCCGATGTAGACCGCGCTAGGCTGATGGAAGAAGTCTTTTGTTGACCTAACTCAGGGCAGGCAAGGTGGCAGGCAAGCTGATTTTCAGTGGCACTCACACTGCCCGGGTCCTGGCCACCAGTCCGGGGGGCTCTGCATTTTAATATAATTTTAAATGAAGCTTCTTAAACATTTAAAAACCTTATTTACTTTACATACAACAATAGTTTAATTATATATTATAGATTTCAGAGTAGCAGCCGTGTTAGTCTGTATCCGCAAAAATAACAGGAGTACTTGTGGCACCTTAGAGACTAACAAACAGACTCCAACGAGAGACTGCTGAGCTGGAATTGATATGCAAACTAGACACAATCAACTCAGGGCTAAATAGGGATTGGGAATGGCTGAGCCATTACAAACATTGAATCTATCTCCCCTTGTAAGTATTCTCACACTTGCTTCTTATCAAACTGTCTGTACTGGGCTATCTTGATTATCACTTCAAAAGTTTTTTTTTCTCTTACTTAATTGGCCTCTCAGAGTTGGTAAGACAACTCCCACCTGTTCATGCTCTCTGTATGTGTGTATATATATCTCCTCAATATATTTCACTCTATATGCATCCGAAGAAGTGGGTTGTAGCCCACGAAAGCTTATGCTCTAATAAATTTGTTAGTCTCTAAGGTGCCACAAGTACTCCTGTTATTTTTATATATTATAGACTTATAGAAAGAGACCTTCTAAAATGTATTACTGGCACGCGGAACTTTAAATTAGAGTGAATAAATGAAGATTCGGCACACCACTTCTGAAAGGTTGCCGACCCCTGACCTAACTAGTGCTTCTCAGGGAGCTGTATTATCCACAGCGATGGGAGAACCCCTCTCATTGCTGTAGTAAGTATTTACGCTGAGGCACTGCAGCATTTTAAGTGTAGACATAGCCTGAGAGTAAGCAAAAGGCATGTTATCAAGTTCAATTTCTCTTCCCCTGTTGGCTGGACTGTTGGGACCTGCCAACTTCTATTTCTCCCAAGTAAAAAGGAATACACAATATCTCAACAGTAACACTGTAAAAATAAACAATAGAATATTACTTTTTATAGGCCAGAAGCACAGTTAATTTAATGGATTTTTGTGTGTGCCTGATAGCCTTACACACAATGTATCAACAGATATCTAACTTTTGTTGACGAAGCAGTGAAATTATTTTGACAAACAAAAGTTAATTGGAAAATTATAGTTTGCTGTGATGTGTTAAATGAGAGAGAGAGTGTTAACAGCATGGTAATATAATAGCAATAATAGTACTGGAACAATTTTTTGTTCTTGGTTTTATTTTAATGGCTATAATCTTATTTTCTTAATTGTCCTTTAAACTTAACTCAGCCATTTGTGGTCCAGCTTGTCAGAACTGTAATTGCTTCATTTCTTGTAATTCCTTAATATTTTAATTATTGTTAACTTTTACAAAAGCTTATGACCATATAGATGGACTCTCCACCCCCACTAACTTCTGCTCTGTACTTCAGACTTAATGAGCTTTTTTTAGTGTATACAGCAAGATGTCCCTAATCCTTGCTGACTGTTTAGTCTTCCAATTTTTCCAAGTAGTAGTTTGATAGTACAGTTTCTTTCTTATAGTGAAACTGTTTCAGCAATAAATAGTTGATCACAAATACTGTGTTACTTCCCACTTCATATTATTCTGATTTTTGCCTACAGGGAACTCCATTTAAATAACAACCTGTTACGGGTTCTACCATTTGAGCTGGGAAAACTATTTCAGTTACAGACATTAGGTCTGAAAGGTATGACTTTTTAACCTACATTTTGTGTGTTGATCTCATTCTTTAGCCACAGCTGTTCTAAGCTACACATTTTATAAAATGTTACCAAATGGCAGCTGTTGGTTTAGGAATTTATTCTTCTCTTTTATAAATATATTGAGATTTAATGAATCTGGCCCAAAAAAGAATGAAAAGGATTTTGTACTGCTGGTGACACCATAGTATCTGACTGCAAATAGCAATTTAAAATTGATTTTCAAAATTTTGGAGCCAATACTGTAAGAGTTTGGCATGTAGATCTACTGGCTTCAGTGGAAGTTGTGCGAATGAAAGGCTTGCAAGATCAGGCTCTTTCTGTTGAGTATGATGCCTATAAACTGCATTAAATCTCAAAAGTCTAATATTTATTATGATTGGACAATTATACTGTCCCCTATTTGTGTGGACTTTTAGCGTCTGACTCTGTAGAGTAGCCCCCTTAATTAATCAGGCCAGATTCTCTGAGATCTGGCAGAAAGATACCATATTCTAGTGGTAGATGTCCAGCAGGGAATGCTTTTGGCCTAGGGGAGGTCACTCTCTTATGAAATAAAACTGGCGGAGATTGCTCCTGCATCAGATGTTCTCCCCACCACCATTATAAGTGTGTTTGGAGAGGGGCAGGATGTGAGAGAGCAAAACTTCACTATGACAGTCCTCCATTAGATCCAGTGATGAAAGTTAGAACTCAGATGCAGAAGAGAATGTAAGTGTTTGCAGGAATGGAAAATTGAAATACTTTTTAAAAAGGGAAACAGTTCTCACTGTTCTGCAGTCATATATCCAAGACTTTAAACACCAACACACACACACACTCGACATTTTTCTGGTTTAATTTTACTTTTTGTGAACATGTTTGCAGGAAATCCACTTACACAGGATATACTGAACCTCTACCAGGAACCGGATGGAACACGAAGGCTCCTGAATTATTTGCTTGATAATTTGGCAGGTACTGCAAAAAGAAGTAAGTGATCATTCCTAAAATATTTATTTATGCCATTTTAAAATAAATATGATTACTTCACTTTGTGTGTGGTTTTTTTTTTTTTTTTTTAATGTTCTAATAGTTTCAACAGAACAACCACCCCCAAGATCTTGGATTATGTTGCAAGAACCAGACCGAACAAGACCAACAGGTAGCATTACAATGACTCTTTATAGATTTTCTCCCCCCTCCACCCCCATCTAAAATCACTTCACCATTACCGTCTGCTGAAGTATTTCTTTTTGATACTTAAACTAAAACATCTCATACTCACTGATGGTAGCCAGCATAGGCATTCCTACATCAAACAGCACATTTGTCTGCGGAATTAGCAACTTTTTTCTTAAAGGTAATGCCTTTATCTTTAATTGGACTACTCACCACTAGAGTTAAACTAGTTATTCAAGTATTTTAAAAGTAGCTGATCAATTGTAAAATATTAATTGAATGATTGTTAAAGAATCCTGGAACAGCAGAAAAGTTCCCCCTGATTTTTCAACAAATGTAGAATAAAAAAAAATTCCTGGGCAATCAGAGAATATTTATATTTAAAACTTGTAGCCCCAAGGAAAATTGCTCTTTACTAGTTACTGTATTAAAGAAACATTAGGTTTTTATTGTACAATGCTGAGGCTTGTTGTTACTGAAGTTGGGAACTGTGCCAATTTATTTGGTATATTTAATCTTTAGTTCCAAACGTTACAAGTCTAACTTATTCTTCAACTAATCAGTAGAGAAATTTTAAATAACTTGAAAGAAACTACAGGGGTTAGTCACTGAAATTTTAAAATGGATCATGCATTTTAATTATGCTTTTGCCCCTTCCCCCTTTTCTGATATATAGTGGTTGTCATAATATGCTGCCTAGAACCTGGCATATATCAAAATGCTACTGTTGTGAAAGTCTTTTGATTCCTTAAATTTTTCCCCTCCAGTATTAATTTTGCTATGATCACTCTAACGTTGGTCATGTTACTGGTGCGGATATTCTGCTGGCCTTACTAAAAGTAACACATTATTTTTGTCAGTGTCCTGCTCACTCATAAGATACTGGTCAATCTTCCAAGCCACTTTCCTTGGTTAAGGGGGAAGCCCCCAGGAGGCACTTTTCTAGGGAGGAAGAACCAGGCGAGAACCCAGGAATAAGCGTGTCTTTATGAACGTAGCGCCCTCCTGGCCGGGAACCCCTTTGCCTCACATCTCCATACTGCCGAATTCTATGCCCTGTCTCATGTGAGGACATGGTAGTGGGTAGGTATGTAGCATGGAAAATGCTCATTGTTTGGTGGGTGAGCAGTCCTTTTGGATGGAGGGAGTTGAGAAGCTAGGAATCTCTTAATTTGAGGAGTAAGGAAGGGAGTAGGGGGCTGATGGGAATGAAGACAGATGGAAGCCAAACTAGGTCAGCTCCTATCCCCCCACTGCAGAATTGGGTGCAATGATAGGGTTACACAGGTTAAACTAAAGACCTATTGGAAAGCATTGCGCTTAAAACAAGCGTTGTGTTCAAACAGGAATTTCACATTTTTAGTGCATAAATACAGCTTTGTAAACATTTCAAAAGGGAAAAAGTGTCTTTCTGCCTCCCCCATTCCTTCCTGCTTGCTTCTAGGTCCTTTCTGCCTTTGCCTGGAGAACATTGGCAAGATATTTGAATATATCAGAGGGATAAATATCAGGGAGGGAGAGGAATTATTTAAGCTCAGTACCAATGTGGACACATGAACAAATGGATATAAACTGGCTATCAGGAAGTTTAGACTTGAAATTAGACGAAGGTTTCTAACCCTCAGAGGAGTTATCATAAGTTCTGGAACAGCCTTCCAAGGGGAGTAGTGGGGGCAAAAGACATATCTGGCTTCAAGACTAAGCTTGATAAGTTTATGGAGGGGATGGTATAATGGGATAGCCTAATTTTGGCAATTAATTGGTCTTTGACTATTAGTGGTAAATATGCCCAATGGCTTGTGATGGGATGTTAGATGGGGTGGGATCTGAGTTACTACGGAGAATTCTTTCCTGGGTGTCTGGCTGGTGAGTCTTGCCCACGTGCTCAGGGTTTAGCTGATCACCATATTTGGGGTCAGGAAGGAATTTTCCTCCAGGGCAGATTGGCAGAAGCCCTGGGGGGTTTTCACCTTCCTCTGCAGCGTGGGGCCTGGGTCACTTGCTGGAAGATTCTCTGCACCTTGAAGTCTTTAAATCATGCTTTGAGGACTTCAGTGGCTCAGACACAGGTTTGATACAGGAGTGGGTGGGTGAGATTCTGTGGCCTGCGTTGTGCAGGAGGTCAGACTAGATGATCATAATGGTCCCTTCTGACCTTAAAGTCTATGATTCCATGACATGAATAATAAGATTGTCACAGCATCTCCACCGCATTCAGACAGTAGAGCTGCAGCTAAGGTTATGACTTCTTTGTACAGGTCCTTCTAAGATCTTGATAAGACTCTCCAGCAAAGAGCCAAGTGAGAGCATGATATGGTTTTGTTTTTATTTAAGCCTTCTTTAATTTTGTTTTTCTTAGAATAGTTATTCAGAGACTCTCCCTACATAATACAGAAGCTGTAGTTGGCAAAAGAAATCTCATTTTTTGCTCTGCATTTTACCTTTTAGAATTAAGCCCTTTCACTGCAGACTTCTTTCCCTTTATTTTTTAAATATTAGTTCAGACCTGGGCCACCCATTGCATGATTATAAGCTCAATCTTACTGAGTGTTCTTTGAGAGCCTGTTCCTACAACAGGCTTTGCACAGGCTCAGGGTCCACCATTCAGTGCCAGTTACAGGATTGGGGCCTACATCAAAATTTAATTCCTTCATTAAGTGTATTACAATACATCCCAATCGGGTTCGGGGTCCCCTTTTACTTATTAACATGCAAGGACAGTGTAACAGTCAAAAAGATCAACATCTACTGTTAAAGTTTTTAAGCAAGTGTCGGAGAATAACACAAGCATGTTAAGAAACAAAGCTATAATGGGGTTAATTCTCAGTGTAAACTGCCTTTGTCTGCTGTTCACCATTTATATCAGCAACATATGGAGGTTTTTTTTAGTAACCTGTTAACAATGAATGCTGTATGCCCAGACAAAAGGAGTGGCTGGTTATTTTAGAGAGAACATGTGATGCATTTTTCTGTAGGGTCAGCTGTTAAACTATATATTTGAGTTAAAGCACTTGAAGCATAAAATTGTTAAAATTACTGAAGGGTAAAAATGAAGAATGTAATTGTGCTTTTTAGTAAAATATATCAGTAATTTAAATTATTGTTCTGCAGCCTTGTTTTCTGTCATGTGTTACAACGTACTTTGTGATAAATATGCCACCCGGCAGTTATATGGCTATTGTCCATCGTGGGCACTGAACTGGGAGTACAGAAAAAAAGCCATTATGCAGGAAATCTTGAACTGCAATGCTGACATCATAAGTCTTCAGGTAAATGATAAATTTATTTTTCCTTTTGTGTTCACTTGTATTGATTCTTGTACACTACATTCATTAAAGTAAACTTTCTTTTAAAGCAATCTGTCGTAATTTAGAACTCTTATTCATTGCTTGACATCAAAAGAATGCTTTTCCAACCTACACAGTTGGAACACTAACCAGCAGCTGCTGATCAGAGAAACGTGTTGAAGTGTGTGTATATATAACCTGACGCATGTTCAGATAAAAGGCATGAGATAATCATATCTCTGGGGATTACAGAAATTTATTTATATCTTCTGCCTTAAAATAGCAGTATGGCTGTCTTATGCTTATGTTCCTTGATTCATCTAATTTTTTGAGTTTCCTAAAGCCAGTTTGGAGGTGACTTATACTTTCTTCTAAAAGAGGCTAAATAATATAGACGTAATAGCAGTCTTCTGTACGCTGGTGGTGCTAAGCAAATACAGTGTGCTGTCTTATAACTTTACAGGAGGTTGAAACTGAACAGTACTACAGTTTTTTCCTGACAGAACTGAAGGAACGTGGCTATAATGGGTTCTTCAGTCCAAAATCTAGAGCTAGGACAATGTCAGAACAGGAAAGAAAACATGTTGATGGCTGTGCAATATTTTTCAAGACCGAAAAGTAAGTGTGTTTCATAAAACCTTCTGTTGTGCCGGTTCCCTTTCGCACAATTCTTCTGGGTCAAATTTAGGCCCCAAGTTGCTGTGACGAAGAAGTGTGTCTTTGTGTGGAACTTCTAGTCTAACATTGTTGGGGATAAGAGGAGAAGTTTACACTCCTTGGGGCCTCTTTAGCCAGAGCTAAACACTTTTTTTTTGCATATCTCCATATTTTGTACAAAGTATTCCTACCTCTAGAAGGAATACTCTACACAAGAGGCACCGTGCTGGGCACGACTAGTCTGAAAAAAGCCCATATTACCAATTCTCTTTTAATCTTTTATGCTTTGTTGTATGAAAGCGGGAAAAAAACGCTGACAAATAAAATGAAATATAAAGGCAAGTACAATAAAAGTATCATGAAATATTTTGTATTTATTCACTGCTGATGGTGTAAAAAAGCTCAGAAAAAAACCCAAAGCATAGGAAAAAAGAAACAAACAATAGGAAACATGGGAAATGTGACCTGTAGAACACGCACTTCAGGCAAAAGAAATTCCATCATAAAACAGTGACGCCTGTCTGGCTCTTCAGCTGCTTTTGCAATGCTAATCTGAGAGATCTTCATGCTGAAGGTAAAATTTGCTCCACTGCAGAGGCCTCCAACCAAGATCCACTAGAAAACTGGTTGGAAGCGGCATATCACTCTGAACTGGGGAGACCTTCACAATGAAAACTCAAGCAAGAATTTCACCCCTGAACTCTTTCAAATCCAAATGCACTCAGTCTGAGACAGTAGGAAAAGACTACAGTCTTTAATTTATTTCTTGAGTGAAATTGGACTGAGTCATTTAGCTTTTTATGAACAGTGAGACACCTGTCCTTGTTACCCAAACCATTCCTAAAATATAAGCCTAAACTTTAAAAAAAAAAAATGACTTGTGATTTTTGGGTGCCCAAATTGAGAGACCTTAAAGGGACTTGATTTTCAAAAGGTGGGAGAACTCAGGACTTTCTGAAAATCAGGAGCTATTTTAAGGTGTCTAAAGTCAGGTACCAAAAAAATCGAGGCACCCAAAATCATTAATTACTTGTGAAAATATAAGGAATATATAGACAATTAAATTTGTCATCTCTGAAACAGTGATTGCCCAAGATATCGAAGTCTTTAAGAATTTTTCTGTATTCTGCTGTGTCCACAAAACAATGCATATGTCTGCTTCACTACACTCTGGTTCAGAAACAAGTGCTGAGTCACTCTCTCTTAAGCCTGCTAGTTCAAATCAGTAAATATGATAGATCAGGAGAAGCAAAATATCTTATTATCTTTAACATTTTTCTAAATGAAAGAATATGGGAAGTGTTGATTTTGGGAAGGAGGAGTTAATTTAAATCTGTTTAAGATGGTGTGCAGATAAAAATTGCTAATGAAATTATATCTTCCGACTTCAGATCAGCATTTTTATAAAGCAGTAATGTGACTGGCTGAGATTCTTGTAATTTAGTTTACTTATGTTATCTAACAAGTTTTAATTAAAATGAGGAAGAAGCTATAGTATTTCCTTTGTCATTTGACAAGTTAAGAAACCACACAATGTTGTTTTTTCAGATTCATCTTAGTTCAGAAACATACTGTTGAGTTCAATCAATTAGCTATGGCAAACTCAGAAGGATCTGAAGCGATGCTGAACAGAGTTATGACAAAAGATAACATTGGAGTTGCTGTGTTGCTAGAGCTGCGAAAGGAATTAATAGAAATGTCATGTAAGTAATTGAATCCAATTTTTTGACTGGATTGTGATACAGCATGTTACAGTCTCCAATACAAATGAAAATTTTGTTTCAGTGGAATAGAGAATGGAAAACAACATTCACAAATAAACATTGTATCTACAATTGTGTGCTGAAATTTTTGGGGCAAACTTCACTTAAAATAGAATTTGGGGGAAAATTTTGAAATAGCAAATGCTAACTAGAATGTTTGGATGATGCAAGGTTTTTAAAAATTTGATTCTCCCTCACCCATTTTTTATAAAGAGAAAGTTGAAGAATTGAGGACAAGAGGGGAAAGTAACTTGGTGTATGTGGCTGGAAGAATATACAAGTGCCATTGAACTAGCCAGAGGTGGTTGTAAATTTCTTGATCATCTGCAGAATACTCTGTAGCTTGGTAGCTCTCTGTCGTGTAGTGCTTATAAATTCCACATGTTCTTGCCCTGGAGTTCTCAAAAAAGTTGAGACTTCAATTGACCTTGGAAGTGTCTTGGTGTGGCTCTATTTAGCCTATAGTGCTTTGTTATTTTCCCTATTATAGTAAGATTTTATTAACAAAGGCATTAAACAAACATGCCTTTAATGTGCGCTTGTGGGGGGGATAGAAGATTTGTAATGTGCATATGTGAAACTGCTGAGTTAAAAAGCATAATTCTTAAAATACTAGACTGATTTTGCTACTCAGGATGTGGTGATTACTTGGAGAGTATTGCAAATAATGGAGAAAAAACTGTAATTTAAAAAATAATATGCTGTGCATTGGTTTTCAGCATGATTTATATATTAATAGTAATGGCATTTTCAAACTCACAGAACTTAATTGTACCATCTCGTTCTTGTTTTTGGTCCTTCTTCATCGGGTGTTAGCTCAGTGTTGGAAGTAGCTGTAACCAGTTAAATTGCGACTGCACAGCCAATAATTTCTTGGCAATAAAGAAATAGGTTTAGCGTAAAACTTTAAAAATCCCTTCCAGTGACATTTCCCCCCCTCACGCTTCTATTTTAAGGTTGGCCAAACTTAGCATCAACCCTGTTTCAAATCTGTCACTTCTTAAAAATCATTTTTGGGTTATAATACAAGCCATCTAGTAGTCATTAGCTGTATCTGTTGCAGACACAGCAACTGTAAATATTTCACTTCCAATTTTAGCTGGAAAGCCACAACTTGGGATGGAGAAGCAGCTAGTTCTTGTAGCTAATGCACATATGCACTGGGACCCTGAGTATTCTGATGTGAAGCTGGTTCAGACTATGATGTTCCTCTCTGAAGTAAAGAACATTATTGATAAAGCCTCTCGTAACCTCAAACCTGGACTTTCGGGAGAACTTGGAACCATTCCACTTGTACTGTGTGCAGATCTCAATTCTCTGCCAGATTCTGGTAAGAACAGCAAGTTTACTTTTTTAGAACAAAATGTAAGAGGTGTATGAATTGAAATTCAAAGGACTTCCTTTTTAAAAGAAAATATTTTCAGTGTAAAAACATAAGATGCTTGAGATTTTAAGATAAAAAAGTATCGTAGCTATTAGGGAGTCAAGAGATGATAAAACTACTCCATTATAGTCCTGGAGGGATTCTGCTCCACTGCATGTGTGCAGAATTCATGTCCCCCTGCAGATTTCTTTGCATCCCCACAGAAAATAATGGGAAAGCAAAGGGAAGCCGCAAAAGTGGTCACATGCCCCTCCCCAGCAGCACAGGTGTGTGGTTTCTGGTGCCCTGAGCAGACGGCAGAGAGGTAAATCACTGTGTGGGGGGAGGGGGCTTGAGACACCCCGACTGGTGCCGGGTCAGACCCACCGCTTGTCTGTCCAACTCCCGTGCATCCAGACCTCCCCATACCCAGACAGCCCCCCCACACCGAGTGCCCCACACCCTAATCCCCATTCTATTGAGCCTCACCACACCCTGTGCCCCACCACCCCTACACCTGGTTCTCCCCAGCCCCACCTGCTTACCTGGGGCTGGGGATGCCCTAGCAGGTGGCTCCTCCCCTGTGCTAGGGGTGGGGGAAGAGTGCACATACCCTGTATGGCGTAGCCAGGGCCAGGGCTGGGTCAGATCCACCCCCAGAAACCTTCCCCAGCTTTCCCCACGCCTCCTGCCTCCATCATCTTCAGCTATGGAGAGAGGGGTCACTGTATGGGGAGCTGCTCCCCTGTTCGCCCAACCCCGTGCATCCAGACCCCCCCCCCCATACCAAGCCTCCCCTCATTGAACCCCCTGGACCCACTAAGCTCCACCATTTTAAAATATTGTATGCAGAATTTTTAATTTTTTGGCACAGAATTCCCTCAGGAGTAATTTGATCTGTGACCTCATTGACTGTAGGTACTAAATATCTCTTACCTCTAATTGGAAGCTTTATTATGTTGCCCATAGCAATATAACACTTTAAAAGTGCGAGATTGTAAATTCTCCTGCTTAAAATAATCTCCACAGAACCCTACTTTCTGCTGCTTAAGCAGTCCAGAATCATTGAAATATAAACCTTCAGATACTTCATGTACAATGCACATGCTAGCAAATGCATGATAATATTGGACCATTCCTTTCTGCTACTTGCTAATGTATAGGGTTTTCCCAACCTTAAGGACACCCTCTGATCCTTGCACTCTTTTTAGTTAAGGTTTTATGGGTGAGATTCTGTCTGATCCTTGGGAGATACACGCCCGCACGCCCGTCCAAGGAACCTTTCTTCCCTCCAGTTGTTTCCTTGGGCAGGGGCCAGTCATTAATAAGCCTGACTTTCTCTGAAGGTGCTCACCATCCACAACTCCAGCAGAAGTTGGTGGGAGCTGTAGGTGCTGAGCACCTCTGTGAACCTGGTCCAGCGTGGCTAGGGAAGGCAAGGAGGGTATCATTGCCAATGACTAGTGCAACAAGTAGTGCTTACCTCGAGCAGGAACAAGGATTGGGCCAAATATCTGCCTTGGAGCAGAGTCCCAAATCTCCAGAGGTAATCTGTCAATTGGCATCAAGTTTTCAGACCTATTTTCAATCTGTCTTCAGAAAAAAGTCATTCCCCTCACTTTGAGGATAACCTAGTTGTGTCATCAGTCTGTTGATCAGTGAGTGCTGAGGGGCAGGCTGAGAAGCTGCAACAGGGCTAGTTTCAGTGGTGAAGCAGGGCTGGAGTTTGAGCACCAACAGAAAGTGGGGGTGAGAGGAAGCTGCTCATTGCCTTCGCTATGTTTTTACTTTTTTCCATCACCTTGGATCTTGTTTAACCTTGTAGATAATTCTATCAGAGAGTGTGCCTTTACTTGGCCGATGCTTGCTCTTAGTGTACGGCATGGCACTAAAATAGAAAGCCTTTGAATATGTTATAAAAGTCATATTGACTGTATGTATTTAACTTGTTGCTTGTTTAAGGTCCAGACACAAGCAATGAATGAAAGTAGCAGTTTGTTTGCATAAACCTATTAACTAAATGCATAAGTTGGTAACTTTTTCCCCCCCCCATGCTCCTCTTAATAGGTGTTGTTGAATATTTGAGCACTGGTGGAGTGGAAACAAACCATAAAGATTTTAAGGAACTGAGATACAATGAAAGTCTTACCAACTTCAGTTGTAATGGAAAAAATGGAACAACGAATGGAAGGATTACGCATGGTTTCAAGTTGAAGAGTGCCTATGAGAATGGCCTAATGCCTTACACAAATTACACATTTGACTTCAAGGTGAGAATTTTGCTATGTTCTAGCAGGGTTCCCAAACTTTTTTTCCCTGAGGCCCACCTGTGCAGGTGTAATAGGCACTGCGGCCTACTATTCACACAAGTCCGTCAGGGAGAGGGGCCCTAGGGGGAGTGCGCAGTCCCTCGCCTTAGCAGGAACCAGGGCCAGCGATAGGACGAAGGGGCCAGGAAGGGGCCACAGCCAGCCCTCCCGACACCCTCTGCCTCAGTAGCCTGTTGAGTGCCATGAGCTGGGGTTGCCGCCTCAGATGGTTAGTTTTACAAACTTACATTTAAAAATACAATGAACCAGAAAGCACTAATTCTTTCATCGTAATAGAAATCACGATTAGTGTTTCCTATTTGCAAGGTAATAATGGTGTCTTGGGTCTTGGATGTTTATTCTTTTTTATAAACAGGAAGCACCCTTAGGGTGGTATTTGACATATTTTTAATTATCCCAACTAACTAAAAGGAGAACATGGGGTGGTAAGCTTCTGAATGAAACAATGTTATTAAATAACTGCCCACTTCTCTGCATTGTTCCCCTGTTTTGTTGCAATATGGAAAATTATCAACACTTCCTTACTCAGGGAAAGCAAAGATGGTTCTCTTCCTCTCTCTTCAACTCTGATGTGGCTTGAGACCCTCTAGTTGAGCATTATTGAGTGTTTTACATACAATCCTTTTAAGTTTCTCCATTCTTGGAGTAGAGGCAACAGCAATACCTTATCCCTAACAAAACGAAGAATGTGTGGTTGAGCATTGGGGCCTTCTGGTAACTTCCTTGCCTTGCTCCTAACAATTCATGGTGACAATAATTAGTAAGTATCATTTTAACTAATATCATTCCCTTACGTAGTTTAAGGGATGTGTTTCTTTGGTGATAAGAAACATAAGAATGGCCATACTGGGTCAGACCAATGGACCATCTAGCCCCGTGTCCTGTCTTCCAACAGTGGCCAATGCCAGGTGCTTTAGAGCGAATTAACAGAACAGGTATTCATCAAGTATCCCCTGTCACCCGTTCCCAGATTCTGGCAAACAGAGGCTAGGGATACTTCAGAGCATGGTTTTGCATTCCTGCCCATCCTGGCTAATAGCCATTGATGGACCTATCCTCCAGGAATTTCTTTCTTTCTTTTTTGAACCCTATTATAGTCTTGGCCTTCACAACATCCTCTGGCAAAGAGTTCCACAGTTGACTGTGTGTTGTGTGAAGAAATACTTCCTTTTGTTTGTTTTAAACCTGCTGCCTATTAATTTCATTTGGTGACCCCTAGTTCTTGTGTTATGAGGAGTAAATAACATTCCCTTATTTACTTTCTCCACCCAGTCATGATTTTATAGACCTCTATCATATTCCCCCACTTAGTCATCTCTTTTCCAAGCTGAAAAGTCCCAGTCTTAATAATCTCTCCTCCTATGGAAGCTGTTCCATACCCCCAATCATTTTTGTCCTTTTCTGCACCTTTTCCAATTCCAAAATATCTTTTCTGAGATGGGGCGACCAGATCTGCATGCAGTATTGAAGACGTGGGCATACCATGGATTTATATAGAGGCAATATGATATTTTCTGTCTTATTATCTGTCCCTTTCCTAATGATTCCCAGCATTAGACTGCATTGTTTCCCTGCTTTGAATCTGACTGCAGTTTTACCTAGAGACAATAGGAACAATTGTCTTTAAGAACAAAATGCTTGTTATAGAAAATAGCTTGACACCAGTGTATTCCCTCTAATCAAAAGATATTTGATAATATTCTAGAGAGAGATTAGAAGCCCTTGATGCTATAGGGAAGTATCAAGTGTCTAATTGTAATGTTTGGCTAATGCTGGATAACTGGAAACATTATCCTGAATTGGAATTGGAATAGCAGAGCAATGACTAATAATTGTGTTCTAACTTTAATTTAGTTATCACTAAATTCTGGTCCCACTAACGTCAAAAGGAGTTTTGTCATTGATGTTAATGAGACCCATATTTAGCTCTTAATGCCAAATGAAAGCAATGAAGAGCCAGTAGCAATAGTCATTCTCAATGTCTTAAACAAAACATTAATAAGAGGTAGCTAACCTCTTTCTCTCCAACATACTGATTGTCACAACACAGTATGGCAAAACGGCAATGAAGACTGCACAGTGTCAATTTCAAGACCCTCATCATAAGGTGGCGGTTCCAATTTTAGTGTTTTAAAATGCAGTCTGCAAGAGCAAGGAAGGAGAAGAGTAGTCTCCCCAGAGATTAGTCATCTCCAGATCTGTAATGGTTCTGAAGTCCCTCTTAAACAAGTGGGTGGGGGATGTCTGAAATGAATTACCACAAAGAGGGGAGGAGAAAAGTGACCGAGGTCCCAGTAGACACTAGTTTTCCCTGACCCATAGTGGGCAACCCTTAGAACAGACCATAAAGGGGAGACAGAAGTAGTGGAGCAAACTGTACCACAGGGAGGAAATAGTGCTACTTCCTAGCTATTTGGCTTCAAATAAGTATCTGAAAAGGTATCTGTAATACTATACTTAAATGTTGTCTTTGAAAAGGCATTTGGCCAAAGGATGGTGCATTAAAACACTTCTTTTCCCCTCCTATTTCAGGGTATTATTGACTACATCTTCTACTCTAAACCTCAGTTAAATATACTTGGCATTCTTGGACCTTTGGATCATCATTGGTTAATAGAGAACAATATAAGTGGCTGTCCACACCCACTCATCCCTTCGGACCACTTCTCACTTTTTGCACAACTGGAGCTTTTGCTGCCTTTCCTGCCTCCGGTAAATGGAATCCATCTCCCTGGCAGGAGGTAGTCAAGTACAACTTAGAGGGCAACCTCAATCTAACTTGTAAAATTGTAAAATCTGAATATAGAGGAGTGAGGTATGGCCAACAGGGATTTTTTCTTAATGATCTTAATTTTAAATTTAATTATTTGATAAAGACATAGTAAAAGCCAGGTGCTATCAACAGACACAATTCTGAGCCCAATATACTTTATATACTGTTAAACAGGAATTGGTGCATATGCACTTTTCTTTAATTTGTTACAATTAATCATCCTGTTTCTTCTCTATCCAACATAACACATTCATGCCTTGAAATAGAGAATTGTTATACAGTATATTCTCTTTGCACAGATATCTGTAGCACTACTTTTTTGAGGCCAGTAGTAACATCGAGAACATTCTTCCGTACTTCACTCCCTCCTTTTTCAGACTTGCTTGTAAAATATAGAATTTGAATTTAGCCTTTATTGATTGTATATGAACAACAGAAGACCTGATTTATGAGATTTTGTACTTTAAAAAAATCAGATTTGGAAAATGATTGATTGTATTGTAAACTAAGGCTAAATTTTTATCTGTTTTCATGTGTTATAAAGGCCAGCTTATAAAAGAAGTTGCAACAGGTTTTCTCTGCTAATGATTTGCACTTGTTAGGGTTTTGTTAGCCCTTTTGTACTACTTTTATTTTCAGTTGAGAACATCGCTTTTTAAATCTAAATCTGTAAAATATTGGCAAATATCTTAATTAAATATATGCATTTGTCTTTTTGATTTAAAAAGAAAAACCATAAAGTTCTCACAGAACAGACAAGCTAAGCAGTGAATGATGAGTAGGTCTGTATGGACTGAAAGTTATTGTTGATGTGTGTGCATTCTAATATTTTTATCTCTGATTTTTGAAGTAAAATTAGGGATGCTTGTGTACAGCTTCTTAATTTTTATTTTAAATGCTATTTGTCCTATCTGCACTGTGCCTGCTTAAATTTGTTCTCAACTAGCACTGCCTGTGCATGCAGAGAAAATCTGTGCATCCTCTTTTATATTTTTTAAATAATGTTAACACTTGTGAAAATTTTATGAAGATACTTTTGTATAAGCTGTGGCATCTTTATTTCCTCTTGAAGCGTTGAATACACACTTTTTGAACATGTTCAGATTATGGGTACACAGTTCCTAGCTTCTAATACCTAAGCACTGCTTCTTTCAGTGTCATCGCACAGTGCTATTTTTTCACAAAGAAATACTATCATGTGAATCCTTTTCAGTTTAAGTGTGTTCCTCAGTCTAAGAGACCGTATCATTCCTCGAAGAAAAAAAATTACATTTTCTGTTTATGAAGCAGTGTAAATTAGATGCATTTTCAGTACAGGTCCCTAAGATAATTCTTCAGATCATTTTTAAAGTGACCAAGTCATATTTTAAAGTGTCAAGCAAGACTAAAGTTAAATAGTGTACCTTCATAGTGCCATTAGTGTCATAAAGCCAAGTATAAAACAGCTAATAAATTTAACTTGGACTTATAAAAGGGAGAATTTATCCACTCCTCCTTAACTAATACACTTTCAAAAATCAATGTAATTAATTGAGAGAGAGAGAGGAAGCTTGGTCTAACTGCTTTTGTTTCAACTGCAGGCAGGGAAGCAAAAGGACACTGAGCATTACTAGAAATTTCTGAATATTATAAATTTTTGTATAGAGAATGAGTTAGGTAATAATGATTCAAAATTTTATGAAGAGAAAATTGTCAGCACTTAAATGTGCTAAAACCATTCTGTTTTAAAATAGAAGTAAAATTACAAATAGTTCTGATCTACAAAATGTGTGTTTTAAATTTCAGTAGGAAAAGTCTTGATCTTGAATCCTTGTCTGGGACCTGATTTTGTTTTGTTTTTTAGTTGTGCAAACACCAAACATGTCCAATTTATAATCAGTACATTGAAATGCTGGTAGTATTGATGTAGTAGATTTAATGCTTAGTGTTATTTTTTTCCTGTTTGTTTTTTTATTTTGTTTTTTGTAAAGTGTGAATAAAAGGTGTTTTACTCATGTTTCCTTAACAATGTGTTGGTAATGCGCATCATGACAATTTCCAGTGATGATGAGCCTATTTAGCTTGTCAAACTGAGCAAACCTATTTTTTTTCCTGATCTGGATTATATAATAGGTCCAGAAAGCTTTACGGAAGGGGAAGGGAAGCACTTACTCATTTTGTATTTCTGGGAAATAATTTACTTTCATACATGCTGGAGCTTGAGTGCACTTGTTAGATTCAAAAGGTTTGAGCTTTACACAATACCTTTTCACCTGTATTTGGTAGTCTTTTAAATATATTTGAATTTATGGCAGCCTATTAAAACATTATGGCCCTTTGTGTGTTGAAGACACAATTGCTCTTCCCTGGACACACTGCAATCTATGGGTCAGTTTGAATGACTTTTCTCCATCTTTTAGACTAATCCTGTAGGGTCTGATCTAAAGCCCACTGAATGTAGTGACGAGATTCCTATTGGGTTTTGAGTCAGATGCTAAGGCTACGTCTACATTTCTGCATACTTTGGCATAACTTATGTCGCTCAGGGGTGTGAATAACCCACCCCCCGAGTAAGTTACACCGACATAAGCGCTTGTGTGCACAGCACTATGTCATTAGCTTCTGCCATTCATGGAGGTGGTTTTATTATACTGACGGGAGAGCTCTCTCCCATTGGTTAGAGCGTCTTCCCCAGACACACTGCAGCGGCGCAGCTGCATTGGTACAGCTGTCCCATTGCAGCACTGAACATGTAGACATCCCTAATAATCGTGACTCTGAAGCCTACTGAAGGAGAAATTTTTTAACATATGGGAAAAGATCAGATGCGCCAATACTGGACTGATGTAAACTTCGTTAAACAAATTTAAAATAAATATTTTCCTGTGTTAAACAAATCTCACTCAAACGTCTCAGTTTTCAATTGCAACATAAACGAAATAATGCAATAAACCATCTTTATTTACAAAATGCAACATCTTTGCATCAGAAACTCTGACATAAAATGGTTACTTGCAATACTTTTATTTAAGGTGTCTTTAGATGTTGCCATAATGTACTTTCAGTGTTGTTGTAAAAGCACATAACATAAAAATCATAGAACATTGGGTTGAGGTGTTTCATTCGTTAGACCAGAAATTTTGGGCCCATCTTTTTTTACCATTTGGTGAAAACCTCAAGTATGGTCTGCCACAACTTTGGTAATTATTTACACGTACAAAAGAATTCTGTGCATCTAAATTTAATTTGGGGGTATACTTTAAAGAAGTGGAAACAAATACAAAACATTGATATACAGATTGCAACTTTAACATATATCAGAAGTAGGCAAAGAAAAACCACTAGGAGATGTTTGTAATTATTTTGTCCCTTCGGTGGCTTCAACAAATTAAATATGGCTAGCATTTTGACAATAAAACTGATTTGAGTTCAGAATACAGTTGCATACATTTCTGGTCTAATTCTAACAAAAGAGATTGTAAATTCATCTAGGATGTAAGCTTAGAAAAGTAGCTTAAGGTGTCAAATTTGCATTTTAGCCATGCAGCAAAAAAAAACCCAAAAACCCCACATTAAAGACAAAATAATTACAACCCCATTTAAAAGAAACAAATCACACTGTAAAACATGACTATTTCAATTTACTGCTTAATTAGAGTCTTTTTTCATCCAGCCTTACACAGTTTTTTAGTATATGTTAACTGCTATTCTTTTTTGTTTGCATAAATTTTGACACTTAAATGTCTTGGTATGTTTAAGTAGTGTCTAAAATAGAATATCTTTAGTCTTTATTCACAGTACTTCTGTATAAAGTGTAATGCACTGGACTAACTCTTGTTTACCATTCATTTAACAAAAACCAGCACATTATCTGCACTAAGCTCAAAGAATGTTGCATTTGTCAAAAGGCAGCTCTTCAATAAGTTAAAGGGGGAAACTGAATATGGTCTGATGGTAAACAAGGGCTTTTACTGTTCTCTTCAGTGGAACTTTCTTCTTGGTCAAATTTTAACTAGCTAGTATTATATTTATATACAGGGTCTTCTTTTTTTCTTTACCAATGTATTTTCCTACTCATAGCTGACCAATAAATTCAATATCTGTTTCAAACCTTTTTGCAGTGTAATTTATATTTAACATTTTTATTTCTAAATGCTTTATAAAGTTGTATGGATAGTTAAAGGAAATTTAAAATAGTTCAAACACACAAATGACAAATACAGGAAACTTTACAATCCTGTAGAGACTTTTGTATTGTAACTCGACAGGCTAGACACTGATTCACATTGGAGATTGACAAATCAAAGCCATGAATACCAACTCCTCCAGACTGTGGAAATCCATCTCCAGATCTGAACTCGGAAGTTTGCCCCTGTCTTTGAGAGGCTGCACCACAACCCCATATCTGAACACCAGGCCATCTTAAAACAGTTCAGATTTAAACAAGATAGATTAGGCCAGTAATGTTGTAAGCTGTAGCATACAAAAGAACTACAGGGATGTGTCTGTCAGCCAAGTGCAGTAGGAATAAAGAATTTGTGTAAACATTGAGTTGAGTCTCTACTGCTACAGTCACCACAGACCCATTTCTACTTTGGCTTCCTCTCTCCATCCCTTTGGCATAGCCGGGGGGCAAAAGTGTTCACCAGCAGAAGAGTTTGTTTGGGTTGGGGTTTTGTTTTGTTTTTGGTTTGTGCCTCGGGAGGCCTCAAGCAGCAGCAGCACCAAACGTATCTATTTTAAGCCTGCAGCGTGAGTGGTAGTGTCATTGGAAAGAGCAGCAAATTGCCCAAACTACAACACTGTGCTCACACCACTGATCCCATACAGTTTGCAAGATTTTGGTGCTATGAATGAGAACTTTAACCAGGCAATTTCCCTTAGACCTTCATGTACAAACAGATCCCATATGCAGGTTCCAGGGCAGAATCAGATGCAGGGCAGAGATTCATGCAACAGCTTTGTGCAAGCAGTCTTGGTACTGTCCTGGTGTATACCCAGATGCAGGAGAGGTACAGTGCATGCAAGTCATAAGTATGCAACTGATAAGGTAAGGGGTACTCTTTCCCCTGTTGGGATCTCATGAGCTCCCTCACCCTGGAGTGGGTGGGTAGCCTCGTAAGTTCACTGCCAGGGAGACCATTAACTAGACAGCAGGTTCCCCTGAAGATCTTCCATTTCTCAAAATTTAGGGCTGATGATCAAAGGGGGAAGGTTTCTTAGCACTGCAGCATTGACAGTATTAGATCTGTGCTAAGATTAGCCTAGGAGTAAGATCACAGCTACAAAAAGGCACAAAACTAGTGCATCTGGATTGAATTTGTATCCCATCTGAAGGCAGCCTAGGGTTGAATAGGCCATGTAACTGGGACATGCTTACAAACCAGATGAGGGCTGTGAGGAGAGCACTGTGTAAGTTTAAAGGGGCAGGCCTAAGGGAAGAGATCCCGATGAAGCTGGACAGAATTAAAGATACAGAACTAGAATTGAAGCTAATGTAAATAAGTGGTGTTCCATTGACCTAGGTGAAGCTATGACCACTTAAACTGGGTGAGTTGCAGTAAGCCAGATGCTCTCAAAAGGTACCCTACTGAAAACCAGATTCTGAGCTTCCACCTAATGTCTTTTCATAAAATGTCAGTAAGAAATCTTTGACCTAGGCCTAGGGATGAAAGAAACTTCTTCATCTTTTTTTGGTAGTATCCTAGACTTCAGAAGGATACAAAATTAGCATCATGGGGGGGGGGGGGGGGGAAGTGGGCGGAGCAAGCAGACACCAGCATCAAATTTTTAAATCACTTATTGGATCTGCTGCCTGCTATGCTGGCCAATAAAAAAAGGAACCCAAACATAAACTGGTGTCTGGACTACTGAAATCAAATTAACAGGTGAAACTTTATATCTGGTCAGGACTAGTACAAAACTGCTACTAAACATCACTTGGAAGTTTAATTTGTATGAATTTCTTAATGTAACTTTAATATTTTCAAGTTATTTTTTTTGGCTTGTTACAGTTCTGCTAATAAAACAGGTTCTTCATTTCTAGGGTAATTATTTTTCAAAGTGTAATATGTTTTTGAATTAGTGAAATTGAGTTTTAATACAACAGCTTAAATGTAGTGCAATCAGATTTCCAGACTTCAAAACTAAAAAGATACAAATGACAAATAAGATACAATAACATTGATGAAAACACTTGCAGCCCCCTCTCTGTGTGGTTTAGAGAAAATGGAAAGTGAAAACCTTTATTCCAGAATAAGTGAGCCAGGTTCCTAAAGCATTATGTGTATTTTGTAATCAAATCGGTAAGAGTAGTAGCTGTCTGCATGGCTTCTCAAATCCTAAATTTACATGACTGATACTTTAACGTTGAACAAAATCCTGGAATTTTTGTGCATACACAATTCAAAATTAAGGTTATGTGATTTTTATTTGTTCAGGGCCCAGTCTTGCAATTGACACTGGGGGGGTTACATCCACACACAGTCTGAATGAGCACAATGCGGGCCTCCCAACACAACTTTGCTAATACATGTCTCTTCTGGCCTGCAACACCTCTGTTCTATTACTAGGCTCTGCAAAGCAGAGGTTTTTCCGTTGTCCCAAACTGTCTACAGCAGTGGTCTCCAAACTTTTCAGGGTTAGAACCCCCCGCTCCCCCAGCTGGGGCTTGGGCTTTGGGGGAGGGGGAGATATGCAGACAGGAGTAAGAGGGCCCAGTCTGGGGCTGCAGCTGGGGATTGGGAGTGAGGCCAGGACTGGAGCTGCAGCCAGAAGCTGAGGGTGGGGGTGGGGCCAGGAGCCAGGGCTGCGGCCGGGGGCAGGGTCAGAGTAGAGCTGGGAGCAGAGTGGGGCTGTGTGGTGCTCCCTCCCTGCCCTGCATGGTGGCAGGCTAGGGACCCAGCTGTGCCCCCCCCCAAACATTCTCTGTGCTCTGCTAGGGGGGTGTGCCCCACAGTTTGGCAACCTCTGATCTACTGGGTTTTTGTTTGATGAGTGAAAAACATGAGAAGTGA